ATTTTACCATAGTGACAACCTTTATTATGTCTGGAGATACTCAATTCTCTGTCCCAAGAATTCTTTAATTCAATTTGTGCTAATGACATTAGATCTTGAGAGTAATTCATTAAATGAGGACAGGCTGTATCTACAGCTCCTTTGGTCCAGGAGGCAGCCTGTTCATTTCCCTCTATGCCACAATGACTAGGAATCCACACAATCTCTACCTTAAGCCCACTCTTATCACAATTTAGTAGGAGTTCTTTAATTTCCAGTATTAATAGGGAGACGGATTTAATTTTAGATAGAATTTTTATTAATGTTTAAATTCAGTGTGATTTTAGGATTCAGTAATAGAGCTTCATAGCTGGTTTCAAAATAGGGTAGAATTAGGGATGTTACACAAGGATAACCAATATTTTTTTTTATCTATTTAGAGATCTAAGAATAGGAAGCCATTTTTTATTAGACCAATAAGGGTTGTTTACAACTAGTAGTAGCAAAGATTCTAGTTTATGATGTAGGGGGTGAGATGATGGTTGTAGTGTTTTTGAAATAAATCTATCAGCCAGTGCCTGTCTTCGTAAAGAGAGAGGGGGATCGACACATTCTACTTGTGAGGCATTTTTAGGAGTTGACTTCATTGCGCCTGTGATAACAAGCAAACATCTTGTTTGGATTACTTAAAGCTTACTAAGGGCCGATTTGTTGCAGGGTTCTAGGAGGAAAGAGCCATAGTTGAAGTGACTGCAGATGATGTATAGGATTTTCAAACACATAGGGTGAGAACCCCCCACCATACGCCTGAAAGAGATCTAAGAATATTAATGCCTTTCTCACATTTGTCACTGATATAATTAAAGTGATCAGTCCCAGTCAAATGACAATCTAAGTAAACACCAAAAAATTTTACTTTGTTAACAATTGGGATAATTTCACAATTATATGAAATATCAATAGGGGGATGACACATTTTCTAGAAGGTTATTATTTTGCTTTTAGGAGCTGAGAGAGAGAGGCCATGGTCAGTGAGCCGTTGTTAAGACGATGGGAGGCAGTTAGAATATCAGGATCTGTTACATAGATAGCAATATCGTCTGAATATTGTAGTACATATGTCACAGAAAGGCGAAATCGAATGCTCAAAAACGTACGTGTAGTTATTATATAGAAGAGGGCTTAAAACCGAGCCTTGTGGTAGGCCTTTCCAAATTGTTCTGGGGCAACTTAGCGTTCCTTTAATGCGAAGTTTGATAGATCGCGCCATGAACTGATTGTAAATGAAGTGTAGAGTCTTCACAGGCATGTTCAGATGAAGCATTTTCTGCCTGAGCACCGGAAGAAAAACACTGTCATAGGCAGATGATGTGTCTTTTTTTTATAGAAGAGAAGGCAAATGAGCATGCGGCTCACCTGATGTTAAGTGACTACCGCCGCCCTTGATCAACCGCAACACCATGGGAATTGCAGGTACGTTGCCGGCCCTTTAGAAAGGGGTAAGGTCTTTTCTTGAAGGTCCCTAGGTTGTATCGGTCCGGAAAAATCGCCGGTGGTAAACTATTCTACAGAGAGATCGTATGCGGAAGAAAACTCCTTCTGAAACGTACAGTGGTGGACCGCCAAGCATCCAGATGGTGTGGATGGTATCGGGACGTTTGCCGCGTAGTGCGTTCACGAAATTTGGCGGCTGGGATTAATCCGAACAATTCCTCAGAGTACTCCCCGTGGTATATGCGAAAGAAAATGCAAAGATATGCAAGATCTCTTCGTAGCGCCAGTGAATCGAGCCGATCGGAAAGCACTCTGTCGTCGACGATTCCAGCCGCTCTGCACTGGATGCGGTCGTCGACGATTCGAGCCGCTCTGCGCTGGATGCGGTCGTCGACGATTCGAGCCGCTCTGCGCTGCATGCGTTCAAGTGGAAGTTGCTGGCACTGGGGAGCCCAGAGATGGGAACAGTATTCCATGTGCGGCCGAACCTGCGCCTTGTAAAGTTGCAGGCGGTGTGTCGGCATAAAATACTGTCTCGCTCTGCTGAGCACGCCAAGCTTTTTTGAGGCCAATTTGGCCTTTTCTTAAGTGACCACGAACTTGCACGTCACTCGATATGTCGACGCCGAGAATTCCGATACTGGCTGAAGCAACAAGGGCGGTTAACGCGCAAACTTGTGTCTTCTGAGGGTTAAACTGGACTAGATTTAGTCGCCCCCAATCCGAGACTTTGTTCAGCAAAGACTCGACTTCAGACACAAGTTTGTCCCGGTACTCGGAGACGTTTTTCCGAGAAATATTGGCACGGCCGGTGTACACAGCATCACCAGTGCTGTCATCTGCATAGCAATGAATGTTCGGGCTTGCAACATATCATTGATATGCAGAAGAAACAGCGTTGGCGATAGAACGCAGCCTTGTGGAACACCAGCATTAATAGGCTTGTAATCGGAGCTTGCACCGTCTACAACGACCTTGATGCTCCGATCTACAAGAAAGCTGGTGATCCAATTGCACAATTTCTCGGGAAGCCCATAGGAAGGGAGCTTCGAAAGAAGCGCTTTGTGCCAAACCCGATCGAAGCCTTCCCAATGTCCAAACTAACGGCCAATGCCTCCCCCTTGGAGTCTACTGCCTCCGCCCATCTATGACTTAGACCAGAAGATCACCAGCTGATCGTCCACGACGAAAACCGTATTGGCGATCTCTAATCAGCTAGTGATCCTCAAGGTACCTCACGAGCTGGCAGTTTACAATGGACTCCATTGTTTTGGAGAACAAGGAGGTGATGGCGATAGGCCTGTAGTACGACGGGTCTGAGCGGTCGCCTTTTTTATGGATCGGGTGGACGAAAGCCGTCTTCCATGATTTTGGGACTACGCCTAAGGAGTAGGAATACCGGAAAAGACGGTTATACCGGTGTCAACTCTGGAGCACACGTCCTCAGCACAATTGGGGGGATTCCGTCAGGCCCACTAGGTTTGTGGATGTCCAGGGAGAGAGTGCTTTGCGAACCGAGCGCTGTGTGAATTTCACCTCCGGCATGGAGCACTCACACCGCTGGATAGTCGGCGGCGTACTCCCCCCGTCATCGAGAGTCGAGTTGGATACAAAGAAAGAGCCTAGCAGATCGGCTTTCTTCTTTGCGGTATGGGCCAGTGAGTCGTCCTCCCTGTGCAGAGATGGAAGAGATGGCTGACAGAAATTCCCCTGGACAGCTTTGGCGAGAGACCAGAATGCACAGGTTCCAGAAGGAAGGCGAACCAGTTTTTCGCCAATTCTGCCTATGTGCTCTGACTTATTTTTCACATTCCTTGCCATTGAAACTTATCAACTCCACACCAATATGTTTGTGCTTCTTGCTGGTGCTGCCACAAAGTGTGTTCTAGGGCACATCGGAAACTGCGTGGTTTAGAGCGGCATTGATCTGCTTACATGGCCAAATCGACAACACTGTTTGCACTGGATGGTGGGGAGTTGATAAGTTTCAATGGCAAGGGATGTGAAAAATGCATAGACATATTTGGGGAGTATCTGCCCTTCAAATGTCAGAACAATAGATTGAGTAAAGAGCCATATTGGGGATGATGACCCTTCAGCAAAACTCTTTCTCTGAAGATGGCGAGCTTTTAGGATTTTACCACAACCAGAGGGAAGCTCAATAGTTTCTGCTAGTTGACCAATCCTCAGGTACACCGCGGATTACACCCATTCAGTAAACATTATAAGATGGAATGGATGCATTAAATTTTTCTTTTACAAGCATTGGGTTATGGAATTCGTTAGCCTCATCTCCTAAGCAGAATTCAATTGAGATACGATTTCTACCGACGCTTTTGACTGGATTTCTTTTAATGTTTTGAATATTATTTTTTTGACAAACATAAACCTATTTTAATGGGTCGAAGTGATAGCCCTATTCTGGGATCTGAAGTGGTTCGGGAGATGTGGACAATAAATGGGACTTGATCTTTTGGCCCATATATACTATAATTTTGTTCTAGGCAGGGATGTTTATATATGGTATTTATTGTAGCTGTTTAATCAACTATAGAATTTTTCTCAAATAATATTGAATCAACTTAATCCAAGGCACATCGTGTCATCGCACATCGTCTTCATCAGGAGGGTCAGAGGGTTTCTCACAGGGAGACCTGTTTCGTCACCCATAATTGGGTATAATATTACATCTAACTATATAATATAAACGTTATCTACTTACAATAGGGAGAATCCACCACCGCAAAATAAAAATAAAAAATAAGGAAAAGTAACCTAATACCGGAAAGCACTCACAAGTACGTGTTTTACCTTTGACCAATCAACAAGCAGTCCGTTCCCTTATGTTGCGGGTGAGCGGGAGCTTGCCCCCTTCCAGATGCGGAATATGGAAATGTCTTACATAAAAACCCAATAACTGATTTTGGCCCGACCGGGATTTGAACCCGAGACCTCATGATCAACATTCGCGTTTACAACCACTAGACATATAGTTACTGCTACTACTAACATTATATGACATGTATTTATATTTTTGTTTATATGCCGTTTATTACCTTTGCATGCACATTTCATTCGTCTAACATATTGATTCACTATATTTTTGATTCACGTCATAATTGTACGACTTTAAGATTTCCTTTAAACCCAAAGGTATAGAGTGGCATTAAGTCCATCTATTGGATCTATTTATTTGATCAATAAAGTACAAGTAAATAAACTTTGTATGTCACATTTCAATGAAAATACCTGTTCCTGTTTGAAGAGTAAGAGAACTAATATAACTACAGGCTCAGAGTTATAACATCTAAGACCTCAGACATTCTTTTTTAAACTTAGTCATTGGTGTCCATGGTCAGCCTGATCCTCTACCTGATACTCCACCTGATCATAACTAGTCCTAAGAAGCAACTTACGACCAGGTTAAGTGTACCCACTTTGTTATAATGTATGAAATAACTATTAAGAATGCAGTTTGAGTTTCTTACTATACATACATGTTTGTTGTTGTTGTTTTTTCAGCTGAAATGTCACATAAGCCAACACCATATAGCCCAAATTTTCCTCCTGGGCAAGGCTATATGTCACCTATGGAAAGAGAAAAGCAAAATGAAAGTTATCCAATGAATCCACAAGGAGGCTATCCTGGCCCTCCACCAAACCAAATGCCACAACCTGGACCAGCTCTACCACCGGGAGCACAGCCACTGCCAGGCATGCAACCTGGATATCAAGTAGGATTTCAGCCTGGCTATCAACCTGGTTTTTCGCCAGGTTATCCTCATCCACAACCTGGTTACCCTGCACCAGTCATTCAACAACCAGCGCCTCAAGGCCCTCCTGGTAAATATTTTTGTTCAATCTCTTTTCACTTCAAATATACACATGATCAACCTTTATAAGACCACTGCTAGACACATGATGTTTTAAGAACATGCCAGCCAGTGATATTTCTTGGAAGATTTGCCCATAACAAGGTGGGCAGGTAGACTGGTGAGTGCAGTCTTGCACTGATAATATTGCTTGTCAACAGACTGGATTGTAGATTTAGAAGTTTTGGATGAATTTTTATATAGTTCAAACCTTCTTTAGGTTTCAGGTTCCAGTAGATTTTTTTTTCACACTCCAAATAAATTTATACAATTTTCATCACAAAAACTTACTTCTTTTTAAGAAGTTATAGTTGTTCATAAAATGCGGTCATTAAGGAGTATGTTAGGAGTGACTGAATGACAGGATGGAAAATTGTGTGATAGGAGAAAAGTGTGGTTTGCAAGATTTAGTGACTAGGATTAGGTAAGGAATACGTCGTGGTTTTGGTCATGTAGAAAGAATGAGTGAGGAAAGAGTAAATAAGTAAATTTATGTTGTACAAGTAAATACCAGAGAGAGCAGGGGTCACTAGAAGTAGGTTTATGGACCAAATTAGCGATAATATTAAAGAAGGGCCAAATTAAGATTTTTTTTACTTATTATATTTTTTAGTGCTTGATTACAATCCTACTTGGCGGTAAGTAGTGATGAGGCCCTAGATGATAGATCACACTGTCTTAGCATAACATAAATCTATTAACTCTTGCCTTAAAGACGCCCAGATTATACTAGGACAGAAAGATGCAATTTATTCCACTCCATTGCTGTACGCATTACAAAAGATGAAGCAAACTGTTTGGTTCTAATGCGTGGAATATGGGTAACCAAGGGGTGAAGATCCGCCGACTGGATGTCCGATATTGGAGAAGAAAGGTAGGAATTAAGCATGTAATTTTTGCGCGTACTCTCCGAAATGCATTCCATAGAATATGAAGAGGCTGGCTACTCTGAGTCTGTGCATAAGGCTGACAAGATTGGTTTCAACCTAATCAAAATTACCAATTAGCCTCTTAGCACATCGCTCCACTGAGTCAAAGTGTTTGTGATATGTTTTTGTGATAAAAATTGGTCCTGAAATCACTGAATTCTTTTAAAAAATAACTCATAGCTTTCTGACACAACCAAATTATTTTAATATTTTACTATGTATTTCTTTCCCACAAAGTGATTATCAACTTAATAATCATTTAAATAAAACTAGTTTTTGCGGATTTTATCACGTATATTAACTTATTTTATATCCACGATATTTCGAGCACTTTACAGCACCTATGGCCATGGGGGGGGGACTGAGGTGTTTTTCTTCTTCTTTAAATTATGGCTTCTCTTGATAGAATTCTGCCAGTGTGAAGTCAGGCATGGGAGTGACAAGTTAATACTTATTATATTAAGAGTTCTCCATTTTATGAATGGATATATACACAATCTACAACAAAAGATCTCACAATTTTTAAAATACCATCACCAACGTTGTTCAGTAATTTTGCAGTTTATATTCTTATTATGAATATAAGCACACAAAATATTTACAAATGTTTGTTGACTCTAATGTAGTATACATTAGAGTCAACAAACATTGTAAATTTACAGGACGCAGGATGTAATTGGGTAGGTTATCATATAGACAGTGAGCAGGATTAGAACACTCAAAAATAAAGGATCTGTCAATCATCTGTGATTGACAGATCCTTTATCTAGCCTACATTCACAGATTAAGCTGTCCCTAATCCTGAGTTTAGCCAAGTGTACTGGAGTACAAGCATGACTCAAAGGTAGGCGACAAACAGTAGAGGTGATAGCTTTAATAAAGTGGCGATATTGAAAAACTAGGTTTTGATGGGATATTAATTTGGATTTTGGAATAGTGAAAACTGAATACATTTTAATAGTTTCGACTGATGCTAAATACTTTGCCACAAAGACAGAGGGCTGGAGTCAGCCTTTGGCAGGAGGTCGTAGGAATGAAATGAATGGATTATTTAGGGAGGGAGCCAGATTTTGTAGCTTCTTTAGCTAAATTATCTGCAATTTCATTATCCTAAATCCCGCAGTGGCTAGAGATCCAAGCAAAGACAACTTTCAGCCCTTTTTATGGCAACTGTACAGAGAATTTCTAATATTTAAAATTAGAGGGTATCTTATCTTAGAGTGAAAAGGACTGAACACAATACTTTGAAGGCAACTAAGGGAGTCTGAGAAAAATGACAGTCCTTTTGACTGAGGCTTTCAACGTCCCAATGTCATATATAACTACGGTTACCTCCGGATTAAAATTATTAATTTTTGTTCCGACCTACACAGAGTGAACTTATAATAGTTTTTCCAGTCCGCCTCGGACTACTTTTCTACGGCCTGCTAGAAGTTTGCTAACGCATGTAACCGCGATGAGTACTGTATCCCTTTAAGCTTTTTTTGGCATAAAAAAGCAATCAAATCAGATCTGCTATCAATCAATCAAATCAAATAAGGTGGGTGCTCAAAAGCTTAAGTTAAACACCGGTGAATTGTGCTGTCTAGGAAATCGTTTAAAGTGCTAACTGCGCGGGCGGCTTGTCTTGGTAAAACGATAATGGTTGATAAATCTAAATTCTTCACGTGTAATGTCGCAAACACACAGAGATCTGCTTGCTTTAAAATCGAAACGAATAATTGCGCGTAAAGAAATTTCTCGACGTAAATCTATTTCTCCTATGCATTTATTTTTCAATGTTATTACACTCATGGACAAATTTAGAGGAACGCAAAAAAAAAAAGGTTTAATTACTCCTGTTGTAATTATCGTGGCGTACTAGCCACAATCATTATTAAAAGCTATTAAAAAAAATTGGTATGTTTTTTTTAGAATTTCATGTTCTTATGTAATTATTGCGTTCTTTCACATTGCTAAAATTTTTGCCAACTTTTGAATTTGAGTTTAAATTTAGGTTTTGTTTAAAATGTTACCTTGAATGCTTTGTTTATCATGTTATCTGTGTGTGATAAAAATGCCACTCAAGTCGCTAGGGCTGTTACTTTAATTGAAACTGGGCACACCACAGAAATCGTAATAATATATTATAGACAATAGAAGTCGCATAGACGCGTGACCTTGTCGCCGCTGTATAATGGTGAATTATGTTCGTCAACCCACGGTAATATTATCTATACAGTATTGTAACTCGGCCCTATCTTTCAAATAAATGCCTACAGCCGTGCGGCACGTAAACATGTGATAGGGTTACCTGCTTCCAGCATTTTTACATTTGCCTACTTTGTGTTTCCATTTAGTTTTATGATTGTAAATATAATTTTTATATAAACAAATAAAATAGGTACTTTGTGAATTGAATAGGAAGTGTTCAATAAAAATGCGTGTCGTTTTTTGATTGGTAGATTTAATTTAAAAACCATGTTTATGTTTGAACAACAAATCGGTTAAATAAATTTGCGACCGAAAAATATTTGCACCTCGGCTGAGACTTACGAAATGCTTTATTATTAGATTTTTAAATATAAAAAATCCGCTTTCTAATATAAAGCTAAAAATAATATAAATTAAAAATTGTTTTGGGAAACATGGACAACGTGGAGAAAAGGAATATCTTTTAATTGGTTATACCTGCAGCTACTTTACAATTTATATGTTTGTTTTTAAATGAAGTTCAGATTTATTATTTATTTCTTTATTTCTATTCTATTATTTATTTCCTCCATTTTTTATATATTTCACAAAATCATCACTGCGGCACAGTCTCGACTGTCTGCATGCCGAGCGCATGCCGAGATCGAGGCGCGTAGGCACAGCTCTCGCTTCGTCCGTTTGTATGAAGTTGGAATACTGTATAGATAAAATTACCGTGGTCAACCCATGTAGGTTGACGAATATAATTCACCATTTTGTGATTTAGGTTGTGCGAGGAATATCGTACGTGAATTTTTGTTATTATACATTTATAATGGTGCACTGCAGCATAATCAGTTGTAAAAACTTATCAAGGACGTGTAATTAAACTAATAAAAGCATAACATTTCATAAGTTGATTATTTACTAATTATCATTGTTTTAATTAATTAACATCTAGATGAATGCTTTACTAGGTATGACGTTTGCAAACTTATTTATTACTTTCGTGTTGTACAATTACCAATGCTGCTTTTGTTCTACCGTAATACGCGACTCAGGCGACTTTGACACACTCGCCAAGCAATGAATGTGAAACATTAGATAGCATTGTGCATTGCGTATGTTTATAATACGGTAAGATGTGGCGACATCGGTTTTGGAAGTAATCGAGCGCTAATTCATTTCTATTGTCTTATTATTACGATTTCTGTGGGGCACGCCTACCGTGACCGTGTAGTGGTGGCGTGAGAATATCTACGATTATCCCTTGGGTGACTTAAGGGGCGACCGAGGGAAACAGATCAGAAGATGGAAGAAGAGTAGAGAATACGCCTGCTGCGTCTTCCGATTAACGACTAAAAATAAAAAGATTTTGAATTTTGATTTTAAAGAAATTGTAGTGCCATTTGCCTGTTTTATTGCTTGAGAGATTTGTTTTTATGCATAATACTGCAAGCCTACTGCAGCCGTAGTTATCGAATACCTTCATGACGTTGAAATCTATGGGGTGGCCAGCGCGCTCGCCTGACTTAAACCCCATAGAGCACGTATGGAATAAGCTCGGAAAACAAATTAAGAAAAGGAATCCTGGCCCTGGTAATACGAGGGATCTTAAAAACGCATTCCAGGATGTATGAAACACAATCTCAATGAATTTTTTTTTCATATTATGTTCGATTGAATTTTTGAGCGTTTGCAATATTAAATTAGAGAATAAGCAAATTAACAAACTTAACTGTCACAAATATCCCCGATATTTTATTCACACTTGTTTTTTGCGTTCCTCTAAATTTGTCGTAAATAAATGTATATAATATAATGTATTTTTTTTTAAAAAATTACAACTGACTAATGCCACATACAAAAAAAAAATTAAACTAAAAATTTCTGCGTGGCCTGTCGCAGAATTTTTAGCAAATAAGGTAAAAAGTATGCAGTAAATTAATTGTTCAGTAATATAAAAATTAAGGAAAAGACTAATGGCAAATTTAATTGTGATTATGTTATTGTATATAATAACTTGATTAAAGATAATTAAGAATACTTTGTAACTAAATGGTAATAATTAGAAATTGTTACCATTTAGTCACATAGTATTGAGTGAAAATATATACTTTACATTTTAACTAGTGCCACTAGATTATGTACCTATAAATGTATTTTACTTTCATTTGTTTGCCCTTGTCTGCTTTTCTATCATTAGACACAAATGAGTTAATGACTTCTCAGATAAGGTTGTTTACATTAATGTGATAGGTAACTTACAATAAAGTGAACAGCAATAAGCACTATTGTTATAATATATAATCTACAAAGTGTTTGTTGAAATTGTTGTTTAAATCATTTATAGGAATTATTTTAATTATTGTAGTTTTACATTCTTATGTTGTTTCAATTTTTAATAAAATGCAGTGTGAAAGTTTAAGCCATCCATTTGATATTCTGTATGAAGATTTGCCTGAAAAAGATTTTAAAACAAATACAATTAAGTGTTCAATATATAAAAAATATTTTTATAAAAAGTGTAATATTGAAAAATTCAAAAGAAGACAAATAGTTAATATGCAAACAATCAGTGTGGCAAGCACTAAGAGAGCACTGATTAAATTTTTTCAAAACATTTTCAAATCCCGTTATACTGGTTACGAGCAATTTTTATCAGAAGAGGAAAAGAGGTTTTGTGCTAAAAACAATCGGGAATTGGTGGAGGATATTAAATACTAACATAACTTGTCTAATTTGTTGCTTGCTTATATCTGTAATTATTTCTGTATTCTTCATTCAAAGTTAAGAATATTGGTGTAGGTGGTATATTATGCAAGACTATACATTTATATATATAATCTTGCATAATGCATAAATTGCATAAATGTATAATGTTACTTTATTTTCTAATATTATTGTTTAATATTCTTATTGTTGTTTATAATTAACCGCAATCTAGTAAGTACTTAGTTGAAATAGGACACATGTTTATCATTATTATAACTGTAGTGGTGGTGTAAGAATATCCACTGTCCCGAATCATCCCGTGGGTGTCGTAAGAAGCGACAGAGGGAGATGGGTTGCAGTGTCTCCCTAATAACGATTAAAAATAAAAAACTGGTTTCCAACCCGCTTATGAAGCGTGGCAACTATGGCAAATGTACCCCCTATGAGGCAATCTATTGGGGAGGCAATTTGTAACGGTACAAAAAATGCATATTGATTTCAGGTGGATGGATGACTATTCCACGAGGGCTCAGCAATTGTCCACCAGGCTTGGAATACCTTTCTATGATTGACCAGTTGCTGGTGCATCAAAAAGTTGAATTACTAGAATCTTTTGTTGGTTTCGAAACCAATAATAAATACACCGTGAAAAACAATATTGGCCAAAAAGTATATTTCGCTGTTGAAGACAATGATTGCTGTACTAGAAACTGTTGCGGTCCGATGCGTCCATTTGATATGAAGATCTTTGATAATTTTCAAAACGAGGTATTTAACCATACTTCACATAATGTTCTAGGTACAATATTATATATGATTTTTGTTGGTGTATCTGTTAGTGATTATGTTCATGTAAACACATCAACAGAATTTAGGGATACTTATAGTTTAAAATCTTTTTAGTTTCTATAAAAAGTTTATATACAGATTGAAACCTCTTTTAATCTATTTTTAAACTTTAAAAAATATAAATAAAAAAACTAAAAAAATATGGGGGCAAAATTGTTAGTAGGTTTATTCGTAATTCGTAATTCGTTCGGTAATTCGTTAGCTACGTCAAGAAAAATTGAAATTGTTCTACTGATATTAATGACAACGGATTAGATTCTTTTTCTTTTTTAATTTAACGTGCCGTGTGAGAAAATACGATTTTATGAAGATATTTGATGAAATATGAAATATCCCTAGATTCTGTTGGTGTTTTTATATGACTTATGTGATAATCTATGACTTCACCAATAAGGGCTAATAATGTTCCGCTCATGAGATATCGCTAGTTGACACTGAGGTAAAGTTTTTGTTACACAATATCATTTAATTGAGAAGTTAGTTTTCAATAAATGTTTATTAGTTTTAATCGTATAAACACACACAAAACAAAGCCTCGTTAGTTTGCTCTTTAATTTTGTGCACATTTTTAGCTCTTATTTAATATTGCTGCTTTTAGGAATATTCCTAGTGTCGTTTGTTATCTTCTAATCTAATATACAATACGGATAACAGTACAGAAAGAAACTGTCAAATATTTCATGTCATCCCAAAGTTGCGCCGCCCTGGTGGCAGAAAAAGTTGTATTTGCCCTCATCGAAGTCATATTTACACAATATACTTGTGTTGTCAATACAATGGTTCTCAGCTATGCTAAGATTCCATAGTTGGCGCTGTAGTCAAGTTATTAATAGGGATGGGCCGAATATGAATTTCACCGAATACGAATATTCGGCTGAAAGTTCGGTAAAACTTTTAACGAACCGAATATTCAGTCGAATAAAGTTCGGCCGAATATTCTTGGTTACTTTATTCGTCAGCAACACCTCTGTACCTAAACAATTTATGTCGAAACTTGTTTAACGCTGGACCCTGTCCCTCGCTCATCATCTAGTACTGAGCAAATTGCCGGCATATGCTTATGTTTGGACTATTTTTGTGAGAAAAAAGTATTTAGTTGTGTTACTCTTAGTGAAAATTGATAATTAGGTATATGATAAAAATGAGTGGCAGGAGATCTACTATTTGGACTTATTTTAGAGAAAGTGACAACCAAAGTAAAGTGAAATGTACTAATATAATGTTTTTTGTTTGATCCCAAAAACATTTTATCAAGCTTTCTATTTGCTATAATTGGAAATAAATCTACATTGCCTCAAAAACATAAAACTATACAAGTGGATTTCACATTTAATCCATAAATAGAATATACTTTCAACAGTTAAAAACATGGCATTACTCAATTTGTACACCTCGTACCACTTTAACGAATGTTCGGTGATTTAGCCGAATATTCGGCCGAATACGAATATTCGGTAAAGCTGCCGAATATGCCGAATACCGAATATAAAACGAATATTCGGCCCATCTCTATTTATTAACAATATATATCTTGGTTTAGTGCCAAAAAATCATAAAATCTGTATTCGATAAGTGGCGCTGTGGTCGAGTTATTAATGTAGTTTACATTCATTTCGGCGGCTCTTAGAAAACTTCGCTCATTAACTAACAGCCAAGGCCATTCATATAACGATGACGATTAATTACCGGCCTGATTCACGGTCAGATAGTTTAACAAATGGCATTGGCTGGATTTAGCATATTGTGCATATTCTAATAGCCTTGTTGAATATTTCGTCTGTAAATAGGCCTATCAAATAGGTCATTTGTCGAATTTCGTTTGATTTGAAAACCGATTGGTATCGTTCCTGGACCTGGTAACCCTATGGTAAACCTATGCTACTTTTCTTTTATTTCCAGGTTATTCACCTTCATCGTCCTTTAGCTTGTGATTCCTGCTGGTGCCCATGTTGGTTACAAAGCATGGAAGTTTCGGCTCCTCCAGGAACAGTTATTGGGTCCATTGAACAGGAATGGTCTATCTGTAAACCTTGCTATGTTATCAAAAACTCAGTGGGTGACATTGTTTTAAGAATCAAAGGGCCTCTTTGCACATACTCTATTTGTGGCAATGTTGAATTTAATGTAAGTATGGATAAATCATTGACTTTTGTATATTATAAGATTTTTTGTGAATTTCACATACTACACTGTCAACATACATATATGTTCGTTTATACGAACGTAAGTTGATCAACCACTTATTATCACTCCTTTATATGATTTGATGCAGTCAAAGTCGAATAGTTTTATTAAAATTGGCTTTTTACACAGCAATTTTTGAAAGTCAAATGTCTAAGCTTTAACAAGTCCCTACTGCGGGAAGAACTTGTGAGAAAAAGTGGCAAGAAACTCATAAGTAAGACTATTTTTCTCCCAACACACAATTATTGCTTTTAATTTAATGTATAATATTCATTAGTAAGAAAAGTCGTAAAGAAGTCATTACGTCTAAGCATTTTTGTCTTTTAAATAGTCATCAAATTAATTTATAATATTTATTCTTCCTAAAAGTGGTTTTTACTTGCGTTTTTGATATTATAAGTAAGAAAAACTGTCGATAGTTGTTGATATTGTCTTTGTTACTTTTTTTTATACAACGGATTTACAATAGAAATTATCAAAAGTTGTCGTGAAATGTTCCTGTAAAAAATGATAAATTATAATTAAATGAGTCATAATGTCAAAGTTATTAAAATATGACTTGATTGCCTTGCAATGCTGAATTATTGATTTAATAACAGTGGTTGAGATACCCCAAGAATCTTTGTTTTATCTTTTACAGTTTTAAAAGTTATAGTTGTTATATCACTGTTAATATCTCTAATATTTAAGCTAACATGACACTCATCAACAATTGACTACAGGAGGCAAACTATGATGAATAACTATTAGAAATAGATATTTAAAAGGCGTAATAAACCCATCAACACGGTTACAACATCATTGACACACAACAACAACATTGATAGCTAAAAAAGTACTAGCACACAAAGATACAAATGGGTTAAAAATTTCTGCTTATTATGCACGACAATGCCTGTCCACATATGGCCAGGATGTAATTAGCCTGATTGCATGAACATAATGTTACGGCCCTAGAATGGCCAGAGCAATTCCCATATTATTTAAATTCTTTGAGTATGCTTAGGATATGCTCCAAAAAAGAGCTCTGAGGGATTTTCCTGAAAATCTGGTTAAAGAAGAATACCTTTTTATGCATCTCGGTAGGATCTGGGTCAATATTCCTCAACAGAATATTGACAATCTCATTCTAAGTATGCCTAACCGATGCAGATGCGTAATGAATATCATGGGTACTTTTATTGATTATAAACTCTTAATTAATAGCCTTTAAAAGATTTTTAATTTACTTTATTTTCTAATTTAGAAACACATTTTTTTCTCTCCATAAAAATCTGAAATCTCATTTAAAATCTAAGGTTTATATTAAAAAATTGTAATAATCTATTCTTTATTTTAATATCTGACTGACTGACCAATCATCAAAATTCTAAGGCACTTCTAGTAGACATAGAAGGTTCAAATTTAGAGTACAATCAGTGTTTAGTGTACATCAAGGAAAAACTAAAATATTTTTCAATTTGGTTCCAGTTTTCTAGATACACTAACTACATAAATAACTTTGTAATCCCATATAAATATATAGGATTACAAAGTTACATTTGCAGTAAATGAATCAGTGTACCTGTATATGTATAATAGGTGTAGATAGGTACGTTGTTGGTATTCAAGAATTAGAAGGTACCAGAAAGGAAAAAAGTTAGACTGTCTACAAAAAGAAATGAGATGCCATCAAAAACATTACTTGTAAAAAAAACCAAGTCTCGCAACTCAGTTCTTCTACCGTAAAAAGTTGTGAAATCCATGCACTATGTAAACAATCCAATTTAATATAATATGTATTACTTGTGAGATACATTGTGTTTTAATGCGATTGCCAAGCCAATATATTTATTAAATAAAAGATTTTTAACATTGATATGGTTACAATAAGATGTTGTTAGGTTAGCTAATTGCGAAATAACTTAAAACAGAAGGACCCCTAAGTAGGGACTGAATAAATTAACCGACTTGGTATTACATGGATCTCACAACTTTTTACGGTAGAAGAACTGAGTTGCGAGACTTGGGTTTTTTTTTACAAGTAATGTTTTGATGGCATATACATGTTTTAAGAAAATTTTGACATACTCTTTAGAATTCATGTGTTGATGTGTTTATTACCATCCTGGTTATTGTTATTAAACCTAAATTACAACATAAACCCCTTGGGGTATGAGTTCAGGCGATTTTATATCTGATCTCAGAAGTCGCAAGAAGAAGAGATCCTTTCCCAGAGTCACTGGCGTAAGACAATGACAAACACATGCCTTACCTCGACCTACTCTTTCACTTAATTCCAATATTAGTATAATTTCAGCAGTTTGTTGATAGTGTTGGACAGATAACTGCTCCTCGTCGCTTGTCTGGCTATTTTACTTCTATTCTAGATGGTTATACCGCCATCAGTCATAAACCTCATAGTTTTCTGGTTATTTGGACGATTTCGTGTCGTAGATTCTATTGCGCCTCTACCAAACAGTAAAAATTATGAATTTAAACATTTATATTATAACCACCGTCCAGTGGCGAAGCTTCCATTAAAGCCGAAAAGCCGGGTTTGCCTTATTAAAACTGAATCAATCAATAATATCAACTAATAAAATAACTCATAAACTGTTTCAAATTATTTCAATTTTCCCGCGCACTCCACTATTCGACACATGTCGACCGATGACCTCGTATTGCCTTAGCGATACGTTTATACAAAGGTACTCTGTGGCGATACTGCTGCTGTCATAAAGTGAGTTTTAATAGAGCGATTATTTGTCTCCCTCGCTCGCGTGGGCTTTTTACGGGGCTTTCGAGAAGACGATCGCTCTCTTTCTAACCTATGGCAAAATATTCTATAATGAAATATAAACACGAAATGTTTATATAGCAATTACTATTGAGTCAACAAGCCTGGCTTTGTCATGAAGTTGTTTAGGAGTGCGTTAGAGACTAGCGAAGTGGTTGCGGGCCCCTCGTATGCAAGTTCACTTCACATTTCAATGTTTATGTTTGTTTTTGTTGTGTTTGTTAAAAATTTAAGCCTTTTCGAAGATTTTCAGTGAAAATGGGAGGATAATAGTGTTCATTGTGATGAATATAAGTGTGTTGAAGTGCTAATCGGCGAGGAAAAGGTAAAAATCTTTAAAAATGAAATTTTAAATTCAATAAACATTTCTTCATAATTTAAATATAGGTATAGGACTCTTTAGTATTAAAGTTTAATTAAGTTAGGCGTATTTAAAGGTTTAATAACTCAATATTTATATTACCATACGAATTAAAAATATCAATTTGAACAGCAGCATAAAGTATGAGACCTAGGTTTAATTTTAGAGGAAATAAGTGTTACAATCTTTTTTTAACGTGAAGCCCAAATTTTAATTAAATAAATCAAAAGAATACAGAAGAATTTATTGAGATTTTTAAAGAATAGTACTCCCTTTAGTTATTTCCAGCTAGGTTTCTCTGTCTACTTTTCAGTATATAAAATTTTAATGGCGCCATCTACTTAATTCTATAGGTAAAGTCATTTTATCGAACGAAAATTGGTTGATTCTCACGATGGTACCTAAAGATTACGCTAGATGCCACAAATATGTTATCGGCTAATTTATAGTGATATTATTTATATTGATTATTATGAATTGAAAATGAATAATTATAATTATAATAAATAGTCATTATTTTGTGGTAAAAAATTAGCAAAGCTTTATCTTCTCGTTATAACTATCTAATTCCTGTCGTAATCTGTTCTTTTATGGATATAACTTAAACAAAATAATTTCGAGGTTTCACATCTGCCAGGCGTCCCTTTTTTTAACTTTGTACATAGTTTGTTTGTACTTTGTTCATGCTTTTCTTTTGTTCATGTATTGTATTGTTTGTAAATATCTCAAGCAAACCCAAACGGCTCTTTTCAAAACTACCGAAGGTGTGCAATTGCATATTATGTCATACAATCTATCTAGCGGTAGTATGCTTTCTGTGTGCTTTGTTAAACACGTCCTTGTCAGCACTGAATATGAAACTAAAGAGTGGAGACAGCTCAAGATTGGTGTATTTTTATTAAACTGCTAATAACAACAAAACCATATCTTGGGCTTGCCCTAGTTTGGAGCCCTAGCTTCGCCACTGCCACCGTCTTAATTTTTAATTGTTTACATTCTCTTTCTTAGTTTTTTTATAGAATAGCGTCACAAACGAGCACACAGTCCACCTGATGGTAAGTGGATGCTGTACCGTACGAAACAGCAGCATTGAGTTGCTATTTTACGCTGGTATTCTGTGAGAGAGTGGTCCTATTTCTACCTCGGTCGAGCCGACTCATTCATGCTACTGTAGTGCTACTTTAATGTAATGAAATTTGAATATATATCTCTAATATTTTATTCACACCTACTGAAAGCCCTAGTGGGCTGACGGAATTTTATTAGATAAAATTTTTATTTCTAGGTGTATTCTAAAGACGGCGACACAAAAGTTGGAAAGATCACAAAGCAGTGGTCGGGGCTCGCACGTGAGATATTCACTGATGCTGACTACTTCGGCATAACATTTCCTATGGACTTAGATGTGAGGATAAAGGCAGTTCTATTGGGAGCCTGTTTCTTGATTGTGAGTATAGTAAACATTAAAATCATTGTAATTTGTAGAAATATATCATTGATTACAGGATTGAAACATGTACTCGTTTTACTGTTATAAATATTAATTCGTTTTACTGTATAAATAATACATTCAATATTTTAATCGATAAGTGTCGTCTTAATGCATCCTTAGGATTTAGGGTACATCAGTTGCTAGAACAGTAAGAAAACAGAATCCTGCAATAAATAATGCCCTAATCTCCCGAACGCTACCCAGCCAATTTGAATTTGTCAAGTTGGACTAATTTACGGACAATTTGTCCTAAGTAAACATACTCGCCGTCAACTTAGTAAGTCAACTCAGTAAACACATCTTCTCGTCGCATATGCGCCAGAACATAAAAATAAGAGTTTAAAGTTATAATTAATGCTTATTGCCTGTGATGACATGGATCTTATAGATGGTCTTTCACTGCTGGTTATATGAGGAAGCACAATGTCGCACAGCGAGCTATGGAGAGGGCTATACTCGGAATTTCACACATATTCGTGAAAAAAAAACTAAAGTGGCATTAGGCCGGTAATATTTCCTTTATTGGTAAGAATAATGGTAGTGAAACGATCACACAGTCCACCTATACCTATATCTATCCCCAATTGAAAATCACAATAAAAATGCGTTGTCAAGTCTGAGGACTAAGTATGACTTATTAGCAGTTACCAGTTTAGTTATTAGTTAACCAGAATTGTAGAGTGGCTCCGACGTAGCGACACAGGCTAATCTATTAGTAGACATGTTATAGAGGCGGCGCCTCCATACGAGTGCGACCACAGAAATAGTAATAGTAAGACAATAGAAATGAATTAGCGCTCGATTACTTCCAAAACAGATGTTGCCACATATTAACACATGCGCATTAAGCGACCGATGCCTGCAGCCGTATTATAAACATATGCGCATTGCATATGTTTATAATACGGCTGCAGGCATCGGTGATATCTAATGTTTCACATTACATTGCGGTGGCGAATATGTCAACGTCGCGTGCGTCGCGTGTTACGGTAGAACAAAGCAGCAATGATAATTGTACAATACGAAAAGTAATGAAAGAAAAAAAAATGATGAAAGAAAAATGAAAGTTTACAAAGGTAAATATCATAGAAAAGTATTCATCTAGATGTAAATTAATTAAAACAATGGTGATTAGTAAATAATCATCTTACCGATGAAATGTTATGCCTTTATAAGTTGAATTACACACCCAAATTGAGAGTATTTACAACTGATTATGCTGCAGTTCATCATTATAACATAATTTCACGTACGACGTTCTCCGCGCGATTAAATCACAAAATGGTGAATGATGTTCGTCAACACATCATAGCGGCGACAAGGTCACGCGTCTATGCCACTTCTATTGTCTTCTATTTCTGTGAATGCGACATAAACTTACATTTGCTTTATATGGTATTAGGTTACTAGGGTATATTAAGCTAATTAATAATATTAAGTAATTTGATTACGAGATAATAGTAAATACACGATAACATACACAAAAGTTATCTGTTATAATTGCGGTTACGGTTACACGCCTATGACGCGCTAACGCAATGAATTGAACGACGAATCGAGACATGCTCAATCATCTCGTTTGCATTGGCTTCAAATCAACGCAAACGAACAAACCACACCCTTTCTATCTAATAAATAATCACTGTGTTCGCATATACAGATATATTATGGGGCGTGAAGCCTGGCTTCTATAGAAATATATATATATATATATATATATATATATATATATATATATATATAAACTTTAACTTATTTCATAAAACGGTTTCATAGTTAATTTTACTATAGAACCAAATAAATAAAGCACCAATTTTCAAGTCCACAACAAATACAATTTATATTTATCACCATATAAATTCTATTTGTTTCTACAAATTGACCGTGTGTAAAGCATTATTCTCTCAATTAACGCCACAATATTGGAATTTTTGGTCCTGTGCTTTATTTATGGTGTCATACTATAAGCCAACTTGACTGGGAATTGTAATCGTTTAAAATTAAAAGGTAAATCTAGTTGATATTAATAGTATACGCGGTATGAATGCCGTTTTTGTCCTTTTTCTTTACCTGTCATTATACTGACGTCGATGATGTTAATAAAAAAAACGAAATTGTACAACCAGTGTGTGTAGCCAGTGATAACAGTGATGGCCGTACGAGGAAGCTCAAGGTCGCTCAGCGGGCTATGGAGAGGGATATAATATGCTCGGAGTTTCTTTGCGTGATAAATATAGAAATGAGAATATCAGCCGTAAAACTATAGACCGACATAGCCCTTAGCCATAGTAAGCTGAAATGGCAATGGGCTGGCCGCGAAGAACCGATCACCGATGGCAAAAAAAGGTCATCGAGTGGCAGTCTCGTACCGGTAGGCGAAATGTAGGGCGACCCCGCACTAGATGGATTGACGACCTAGTAAGACAAGCAGGAAGTCGATGGATGCAGGTGGCTCAGAACTGTGCTTTGTGACATTCCTTGGAGGCCTATATTCAGCAGTGTACTTGTGAAGGACTGTAATGATGATAATGAATGATGATGGTGTAAAATTTGGTACAATTCTGGTTACAGCGAAATAATTAAGCAAAACCCAAATAGAACATGAAAGATACATTCATAAAACGATATATTTTAGGAATTTGATTTGGAAGCAAATAAATTTAAATTGAAAAAAAAAATACTTAAATTAAAATAACATTCCATGTTATATTAGTGTACCTATTGATAAAAATAATTAAAAACATATTTTAATTTTTCAGGATTTCATGTTTTTCGAAAAAAGCGGAAATCGAGAACAAGATGGCCCAGGAATGCTCTAAATTAAAATTAATCAAATAAATTACGGTTTTAATTAACCATTTATATATTTTTACATAACGTTTTGTTAGCGATAATAGGCTTTCGTGCTTTTTACTAATTCTTATGATTTTTATATTTGCATATTTTTTACTATATTTTTCTGATGTGTTTGTAACTTGAATGTAATTGAAGTGTATTTAAATGAAGATTATAAGTGAAGGTTTTGTAAACTGAACACAATTTTTTGTTTGCTGGTAAACTTTATATTTGTAATTTGGTAAAGCACTTGTACTTATTTCACAATATTATTTTAAATTTAAAAATAAATTGAAGATGAAGTTTCACCAAGTGACAACAATTGCAAGTATAAGTCATAAAAGAACTTTAACTTTTCTAATATATTGTTACTAGGTAATATATAAGCTTCGACCAATAAAACATTAATACACCGTGACCGCTCATAATACGGCATTGTAAATTTCTAGTGAACATAACTTTATTCTCAAGCGCGCGCGACAAAGAGAAACAAGCCCAAGTATTCCGTAAAAAGTGAATATTAACTCAACATCTTCGAAAAAAATGGTAATTTTAGTAGGTTAAATTGGTTTATTCGTTATTGTAAAATATTTACTCAAAACAGCAGAAGTAATTATTTTTACAAAATAACTTGTAATAACAGTTCGTTGTTGCCTCTTGCACACGCATTAAGATTACAGAGAGAAATGCTCAGAAAAAATACTTCAATTGTTCAGTGTTATTTAATGAAAGATAAATGATTGTTGAACTTATTTTTTTTTAATCTAAATTGCCTAAAATTGTTATTTTACATTAAGTGGTTTTAGTGGCTTATGGTATAATTTATCAAGTCCGCATGGAGGGGTAAACACGATAACTTTTGAACATATCAATTGTTCAACTCATTCTATTTTTTAATATCTTAGTCTATCATGTGGGAAGCCATAGAATGTAAATGGCTGTTTATTTTTGTTTTGTTCAGTTATAGTTAATTTTTTTCGGCTGAGATATTCCAAAAGTATCGGTGTCTTGAGCAGCCTTGTATAATATATTTTACTAAATACAGATACACTTTGACTCATTCCGAGCTCGGCCGCCGTCGTGAGTTGGTTATTGTATCGTTTATATTGTACTAGTGAGGAAAAATATCGATCGCTGTAGAAATACAATATATTTAAATCTAATACATACTTGACCAAGGTAAGATATTAAACTTTCTTAAATTTACGCGATCACTACACCAACTAGGTATTTTAACTTATTTTTAATTCCCGATGTTTCGGGTGCTTTACAGCACTCACAGTCACGGGGAGGACTGAGATGTTTGACGTTTCAATGTCATAGTTAGCACGACGTAGATCGGACCAAAAATTAATATTCAAAATCTGAAGATAGTCGGGCTAACATGACATTGGGACGTCAAACATCTCAATCCCCCCCCCGTGACCATGGGTGCTGTAAAGCACCCGAAACGTCGGGATTTAAAAATATGTTTAAATAGTTAATTAGACGCGATAAAATCCGTAAATATAGTTTTGTTCAAGGTAAGATATCATTACTATTTTTATAATTACAGATTTTCATTACAATATATTGTTTCGCTTAAAGTACGTAGGATTTATATATAAATATCCTTTACGTCTTAAATTTTATGGAGTGACTTGAAGGTATACTGCAGACATGTCTGCTACTGAAATTCCTCGAAGAGTAGAACTAGGTGTGCCGAGTTTGGCTTCGTTTTGTTAGTTATGATGAGACCTTACCTCCGGACTTGATAGAGTGACCTGAAGCTGTACTTTGGTGAATGCTAAATTAAGACGCTGGTTATGAATAGATGAAAAACTTTTTGAAAACGAAATAAAGTTGATAAGATTATTTTTTTATTAACGAGTCAAGTTAAAAAGACTAGTTTTTACGATAATTTCTGAGTGCTAATACCTAAAAATTAAAGGAATATTAAAGTTGATTTCTGATCGTTTTAAGATAATTATGTTTAAAGTTTTTTCGATTAACAATAATAAAAATATTTTTGAATCTCAATAAAAAATAAATGGTAACATAGTTAAAAAAAAAAAAATTCTATTGTTGATTGAAATTTTTTCTACATTTTTTCACGATCACTTTTGGATTTTCAATTTGTTTTTATTGACGTTTGACATACAAATTAGAAGTAATAGTAATAAGGTTAATGGAAACTTGTGTGTACAATAATACTTTAAAAAATTGACGTATAACATGAACGCATTATTGGATTTACCAAAAGTTTTTTGTTTTATTCTATTTTTTCATATCAAGTTTTATGTGTCAAAATGTGTCTCCACTTGGTGCTCTACTATAACCGTCGCCAACGCTCTTTATTATGACTATAGCAGAAGCCAACACTCGGCGGCAGTCATGACTATTAAATGTGTAAACAGCGATATTGTGCTCTCGCTTGCACATACTGGTCATAGCTGGATAGCTTTATGATGCGCCGCATTACTATCGATTACGCTAATAGTTACCAGTTAGTTTAATTAAAGATAGACAATAATTTTATGTTCAGGAAGTTGTTATTATTATTAGTAATTTATACACTTATATTAAAATTATAAATAAAAAGAAAACGGTATATAACTAAAATAAAATAATAACAATTTTTACTCCAAACCCTCAAAGATTTAATAGGTTCAATTTCATTTTACAATTATAGTTTAAGCATTATTTAAATAATTAGTCTTTATAGACAACTGTAAGAAAATTAAAAACAAAAAAACTTGAAATTCATTTTCCAGACCGCAATGGTAGTCTTGAGCTGCTCTATCGACAACGTGTACTGCACAACCCTAGTCCTGCCTAGCCTATTATCGTTTTATGGGCACGACTGCCACGAACGTTGGCGTCTGTTATTGCTAGTTGTTGATGTCTTACTTATGGCTATACATAATATATATATAATATATAGTTAAGGTTTTTTAGCTGGAAATAACTGTCGAATGCTATCGCTACTAATGTCGAATGCTATCGATAGTACATACTATGTGTATTTAAAATGCACATGAACCCACCTTACTACCAGGCCAATGCCGATAGTTCTTTATTGGTCTCTCGTTGGGGAAGTGGACCTGTAGCTCTCTATCCATGGAAACACTACGCGGGGCAACTGATCAGTGATCACCCTCTTATTCGATAAGGCAAGATTTGGAAAAGAATCAAACAGGCTATTTTTTGGCGACGTCTTTTCATCATCACATTCCTTGTCATTTCATCTTTTCTCTCTCCACATCTTTATTTAGCCGTGTGCCACGCGCTAATGATCCATGCACTTCAGGTACTCCGCGGACTACCCCCAAACAGCCCAAAGTGAAGTGTTTTAATTTATAGCTGTTATTGCTCGCAGAGAATTCAACGGCTCTCTCTCGTAATTTTTTTATATAATAAGGGTCGTAAGGGAGCACACAGCACACCTATGGTAAGTGGATAATGTGGCACATAGACATCTACATCCATCCTCGATTAAGAATCCAAATGTCTCCTATCCAGTAAAAGGATCTCCGGTTTTTACCTTTAGACTGCTATTTTAAGCTGGTATTTTGTGAGAGCGTGGTTCTTCCCCGGTCGAGCCGACGCATTCGTGCTACAACCATAATATAGCTGCAGCGTGGCTCTACCCACGAGACCAAGGTACATAATAATTGAACCTATCTCTACCTATTCTTCTTAAGTACGTGTATACGTTCTACGAACTACACTTGATAGCAAAATTTTATAAATTTAGTAGGACTGGTTAACGGTATTACTATAAATGACAAATTGACAAGCATAACAAATATTTTCTAAATAACATTACAAAATAATATTCAGCTACTCCGCCTAAAATTATCATATACATAGAATTGCATGCTTAAATGTTCATGAAGTCAGTTACTAAAATATTTTTAAAAAAATATATATATATATATATACATATATATATATATATATATATATAATGTCGTTTAGAATTGAAAATAACTAACTCCATTGGACAGAATTTGTGAGTATTGCTAATTTTCAATTTATAAATTCTAACACGAAAAATAAATATTATGTTAGCATTGCTAAGATATCGCTATAGTTGACACTACAGATCCAGTCTTCATAAGAAGTTAATACTATCGATAGCATTCGACCGTTATTAAAAAGTATTTATTTATAAAAGTAACAATTGACTTAGCAGTAAAAATTCAATGTTTATTATCATTGTTAAAAGATACAAAACTTCAGCAAGGTTTGTCAAAACTTGTAAACAAGCATTTATTAAATTAAGATCTCACACTGCCAAAATAATGATACTGCTGGTCAAACTAGGATGGTTGTGAATGTAATGAGTTTTTATTTATTGTATTTTTATTAATTGTTTTTGATGGCTTTTCGAAAGTTACTAATCTCAAAGAATTTTTTTATATAAACTTTAAACTTAACCTTTTGAATCTTATGTCTTATTTGTCTATCATTATGAGTTTAAATCGTTTCTATTGTTAATAATAAGCTTTTGTCATGTTTTGTAATTATAATAAAGTAGTATGTAGGAAACATGAAAAAATATGTTACCTTAGAAGAGTGTAACCATTCTAGAATAAGGAAATAAATGATATTCAAATTCTATGTAATATGCGTATATCCATCCGAAATAAATATGTTAAACTTTTAAAATAAGTTAAATTAGTATAGACCTATCATATTTTGATATTATAATTGATTATTTTAATTGATAATCGAAGCTATACTTCATGGCCTTTTTAGAGGCTTAATGTACGTACACATAGACTGGCTCGGATTTTTTTTTCTCTATTGACCGAATGGTCTTTGTGATTTATTAAAAGCAAGCTCAGGGACGACTGGAGCCTTTCACGGACTAACTAGAAAACTGAGTAAAGCGCATGAATTCAGAGCCTAGCGTATATGCTTGGGGCTGGAGTAATACTCTCAACATCGAGAACGTTAAAAAAAAGAACGTAGCAGTATTTTTTGTTTTGATTTATTA